AATTCACTGCCGGCCACCATTAAAAGCAAATCGCCCGTGCGCAGTTCAATGGAGCCTATTTTCCCGCTGAGTTTTTCCCCTCTCCGGTGAATGCCAATAATGGCCGCATCGTAGCGCTCACGAAAACCGAGTTCCTTCACGTTTTTTCTGTCGAGCCGCGAATTTTGAGCCACCACCGCTTCCACCACTTCGGTGTTTTCCACCAGGTTGAATTTATCGGTTTTTGAGAGGTCTAAGCCCGATTTATTCTTCACCAAATCAAAGATGGTGGAGGTGTCACCGGCAAATAAAAGTACATCTTCTTCGCGCAAAATCTGATCGGGCGAAACCGGGGCAATCAGGCGGTTGTTGCGCACAATTTCGGCCAGAAACACCCCTTCCAGGTTTCGCAGTCCGGCCTCTTCAACCGATTTATTGGCCAGTAGTGAGTTTTGCGAAATGCAGGTCTCCACCATATACTCGCGCTTATTGGCCTCAGCGCTGGAAAGTACATCCTGTTTTTCCTTCAGCAGCAGCGGAGCAAATACAATAATAATGAGCAGGCAGAGGCCCGTAATCATCAAACCCGGCAACAGGAAGTCGAAAAAACCCAGCGGCTTAATGCTGTTTTGCTCCAGCAGGCCGTTCAAAACCAGATTGGTAGAAGTACCAATGAGAGTGATTACCCCGCCAATTATGGCAGCAAACGAAAGGGGCATTAAAAGTTTTGAGGGACTCACTTTGTGGCTGCGCCCCCAACTGTACACGTGGGGCATCATGACCGCCACCACCGGAGTGTTGTTCATAAAGGCCGAAAAACTGGCCACTCCTAAGCCCATCCTGAATATAAAGGTACGCGGGCCTTTCACACCTTTAAAGAAGGCTGAAAATACCGCAGCCAGGTTGAAATTATCGTTGATACCGGAGGTAATTACAATGAGTAAAAATATGGTGAGAATGGAAATATTTGACAGTCCCGCAAAGTAATCGCCCACCCCAATGGCCCCGCTTAGTACCAGGGCAGCCGAAGCAAACAAAAAAACCACCGAAGTTTTGTAACGGTCAAAAATGAGCGTTGCAATGGTGAGTGCTAAAATTAAGAGCACCGCGGGAATTTGATATTCTGCTGGTATCAGAGGTTCGTGATTTAAGTGGGCAAAAATAATTTAATTCCTACTAAGTTGATAGCCTTTTAGTGTTTTTATATATTCTCTCGATAATATCCACTACTTTAAGGCCTTCCAGCGCGTTGGTGGTAATGGTTCCACGGCCGTTAAGCACATCCAAAACATTGCTTAAAATATACCCGTGATTGGCGGCACTGCCCTTTATTTCACCGTAATCGTTGGGCGGGTTGGCGGGCGGCAATTGGGGCATTTCATAATCCTTAACGTGGCAATACTCTACCTCATTCATGTACTGCCCACCTACTTTTATGGTTCCGTTTTCGGCCAAGATGGTTAGGCTGCTTTCAAAGTTTTTGTCCCAAACCGAGGTAGAGAAATTTATCATGCCCATGCCCCCGTTCACAAATTTGAAGTTTACCGTACCGCTGTCTTCAAAATCAATACTGTTTTGGTGATTAAAGTTGGTGGTAACGCCCTGAATTTGGTCGATATCGCCAAATAGCCAGTACATCACATCAACAAAATGCGAAAACTGGGTAAAGAGTGTGCCTCCGTCAAGCGCCTGGGTGCCGTGCCAATTGCCCTTTTGGTAATAGCGCTCATCGCGGTTCCAGTAGCAATTTATTTGCACCATGTTTAACTTGCCCAGGCGGCCCGATTCTACCATTTCCTTTAGCCAGGCAGCGGGCGGTGAGTACCGGTTTTGCATCACCCCAAACACGTGGCGATTTTTCTGAAGGGCGGTGAAAATTATTTTTTCAGCCTCGCTTTTGGTCAGTGCCAGGGGCTTTTCAACCACCACGTGAAAGCCCGCCACCAGTGCTTTTACGGCCTGCACGCTATGCAATGCATTTGGGGTGGCAATGTAAATGACGTCTACATCGGGCTGCTCATTCATCATTTTGCTCA